CTCTTTGTTTTGTGACAGCACAGAGCAGGTACAGGCACAAGCCCTGACATACCCACATGGAAGGGGGAGCTACAGTCCCCCAAAGAGGTGCCTGGAAACCTCCCCCTCTGAGAGAGGGACGCTTCTCCAGAGAGCTGATCGCGACTTAGTTATAGTGGAATTCCAAGCTTGAAAAGCTCTCAGAAATGGGCATGAAAATGTTGTCCATACTATAAATGATTTTCAGCCTTCTTCATTTGCAAACATTACGTTTAAACATGAAAATTATTTAAATACAGTAGAATGTGGTCTATACTATGACATATTGCAACAACCATAAAAAGGAAGAGGAAGGGAAGATGTTAATAGTCATCGAAGGTGATACGTATATGGGTACTCATTACACTCTTTTCTGCGTATTTGAAAAAATGCTACAATAAAATTTCAACGCATAGACTGTCTTTAAAGAGGAGGCAGGAGTAGAGTATGCTTTCCCACCTAGGTAAGTGATGAATTATTTCTCTGATCCAGCCTTGCTGAAAAGAAAGGGAGCCTTATAAACATCATAACAAAGATGGTAGCCCTCATCGTGGAAAGCCCAGAATTGCCTCGCCTCCTTATTCAGTTTGGTTAGAAATCACATTAAAAATCAACTTCAGGTAAAATGGATTGTAGTTCTTTCAAAGGCTTTGCAAAGCTCTAAATATTTACTCCTTTGGATCATTTTTGCCAGGTTGAGTAGAAGCACCGGCCTGATGCCATTTATTCTTCAGAAGATGAGAATAAAAGACAGATTCAGACATAGGTCACAACGGGGAGGGGACTGTAAATTAGAACAGTAACTTAATCCCAGGGGCTTCTGCGCCTCTGATCAGTTTCTTCCCAACCTGACACAGCATTACTAAAATGGGATCTGAGCAGCCGTTCTACTTGACAGGCAGCACCAAAAATGGAGAACGTGGCATTGAAACAGGGGCACATAAAACTTGGACAGGGAAGGTAGCAACCAGTGTTTACAAACATAAACCAGAGAATCAGATGGGTTAGCCATAAACTACCCAAGATTGTACTGAAATATCTGAAAATAAATTAAGGGAGCCTTAGAAGTCTCTACCTTTGATTCTAACCATCCCTACCACTGTATCTTGCCTGCAAAAATCACTCACTCCAAAATGGTGCCATTCCCACTCTTGCTAAAATAAAATCTTACATCACCAAGGGAGGGGAGTACTAAAATAGACCCTCAGCAGAGAGGCCAGACCAGAATGGTCTGCTTGACCCACTCAAGAACCTAGGAGAAGTTGCTGGCCATGCCTTCTGAAAGATGCCCACCCATCCTTCACCGCAATGGTGCTATGGTATTAACCTTTGGTTTCCCCAGAGGAAAGGGTAAGTAGGGGCATTCTAACATTGATCCCTTTCCCTTCTTTCCCAGCATGGTCCCAACTTTGGCTATTCCCCCAAAAGAGATCACGATACTAATGAGAGGAAACAATAAATGAATTAGATCGCAGACCCCTTGTTCCTGGACTACACGTCTTCAACCCAATTCCCAGATAACTGAAGAAAGACCCCCACCCCCACCCAAGCTACAAAGAATCCAACCTCCACCACCGGCGCGTCTTCCAGGTCGACTGCCACTGTGTCTCACCAACCCGAAAATGATCAGCCCGCACGGCGGCCACCCAGGGCGCCCAGTGGTGAGGTCAGCAGCAGGTCCGGCCCCGCCCCATGGAGGCAGTCTTACTGACACTGAGGAGTAAGCTCAGGCTGCCCAGACTCTCAGCTGCATCCACGGGAGAGGGGGGAAGGAACCCCACTTTGATCAGTAACACCTAGGAGATTCATTTCCCAGAAATTGACAAGCCACTCCCATATGCAACAATGCCCACTGCAAAGCAGAGGGTGGAGCCTACAAGTCCTCCCAATTGCCTTCGTGTTCAAGTCCAGGGTCGTCCTCCTTTGTATTGCTTGATGCCTGTCTGCAGGTCACACAGACACGAAAGGCCTGCTTCTGCTCAACACCATCTACTCTACGTGAGCAAAGAGACTACCCTTAAGACCACCGGTTGTCCCTCTCTTGGCTCCCCAAGACAGATGACTACAAAAGAGAAGTTTGTAGGTTGTATTTTCTCATCTCAAATAGATAAGACAAGCCAAGATCACAGTGACAGAACACTAGCTGGGTAACCCATCTGGGAAGGCAAACAAGGATATAAAACAATAAAATACAGAGGTACACAGAGGAAATCTGAGAGTCTGAAGTCAGATCCATAACCCATCAACAACAACAAAAAGTGACTGGGTGCTGCTGGAACCCTCCGGATGCCACTTCCGTCATGTTCTCCTTTCCCTCGGAGCCCACCAGCCCCAAGGAAAGCTGCATCTTTGTGTGGGCTGAGCCTGATGAGAGCAACTGGGAGGCAGTGAGGGTGGGCAGGCGGGATGATAGCAAAGAAATTCTGAACCATATTTCTAAGAACACTGCTTAATCCAAGGCAGAATGCATCGCTGGGAAGAAGAGAAGAAGGATGGCAGAGCTGGCCCGCCCTGACTAATGACTATCTTGCCCACCCCAATGGCTTGTTGCAATTTAAGTACTCAAGGCATTCAAAGGAACCCAGCCATGCCTTGGGTCAACACACTTCAGGAGACTGGCTAACGAGGTGGCCCCAACTGGGTGCCTTGGCTCAAAATACAAGAGAAAAGAAGAAAGAAGTTTACTATCTCTCACTACCACCACCACCACCCTACAGAAGACACCAAACAGGAAAAGTGATGTGCAGGGTGCCAACAGATGACATCCGAGGACAAGGAGGCGCACCAGGGATGGGCACAGGACGAGGGCTCCTCTGCTCATTTCAGCAGCAGTGTGCACAAGGAGCTCAGAGAACAGCGGGAAGTTCATTCCTCCCACCAGTGCTCAGCAACTCTGACATCCCAATTATTCTGCGCTCCGTGTCCTGGGGCAAGTGGCCCACCCCCCATCTCAGGAGGAGCCGTGATGCTACCGGTTGTCAGGTGAGGCCCGAAGGAATCATAGGTTGGGGAGTATTTCATAAAAGGGACTGTCCCTTGGAGCTTTGACAGAGGAACGGATGTTTGGGGTGAACTGATACTTTCTGAGGAGACTGAGAATAAGGATCTCTGCCCTTCTTGAAAGTCACTTTACAAGTCACAGATCATCCCAGCTATTCAGAGAGGTGAGAAAGAGGAAGAATTCCCACAGAAAGAAGTGGCACCTGTCAGTTTACTTGCTGTTCACCAGAGTTGCTGTTTCCTCCATGCCATCAGCCTTGGCTAAGTCTGAGAGACAAGAACTTTCCAACGAGTTACGGATGGGAAGAGAGCTACCAGACCAGGCATGATGGGAGAGGCCATCTGGTGTCATAAAGCCCCTTTTTAGAAAGATGAGAAAACGGTCTCTGAGAGGGGACGTGACAAACCCAACTAGACGGGAGCCCAGGTCTTCTGGCTTTCCGTCCACTGTAGGAGTCTCTCTCCCTACATTCAGATAATTAAGAAAAGGCACGGAAGGGAAGTCGAGAAGAAGAAAGTCAGTTCTAGTCTTGTGCAGCCCGGGGGAAAGAGAATGCTGGTACTTGTACGAGAAAACCCAGAGTGACCCCGGACGCATCAGGACTGTGCTGGGGGTGGGGGCGCGGGGGCATTACCTTTCAACACCAGAGGTTCTTTGCCTTCTCTCTTCAGGGACTCGAGGACTATGTGAAGTGGCTGGGAGGGCATCACTCGGCTCGGCTCATTGGTATTCTCATCATAAACTATAATTTCTTTGGAAAAGATCCTCTTGAAAGAGTCCTTGCCTTCCCTACAGGAAATCAAGTCTAGGACAGTGATCTTGCCCTGCTGTAGTCTCCGCCGGCTGATCTTGTCGGCACAGTTAACGTGGACAGCTCCTTGGATGTGGCTCTTGTTGTACTCCATGAAGGGCCGGCAGTCAATGATGACGGGGCCCTGGCTCGGCAGGTGACTCTTGCTGCATTTGGTCATCTTCTTTGCCAAGTCATTGGGGTAGATTATTTTGATGCTGGCTAGCTGTTTGGGGGTCCCTGACACGGGGCTGCCCACCCCACCTGATGGACTTAGAGAGCCTGCATTCTCACTGTTGTTGACCATCTGGTTGGCAGAGCAGGTGGTAGAGGTTCCAATGGCGGTGGTGGCGGTGCCAGCGGCAATGGCTTGGGTTTGGGCCTGATTGTCCTTGTCGTAGGTGGCCACAGTGCAGCAGCTGGCACTGCTGCATCCACAATTCAGGGAGCGGGCAGAGCCGCTGGATGAGGGCATATACGTCAGATTCGCAGCCTTTAGGGACACAACGGTGGTGGCGATGACAGAAGGATGGCTGTTACTGCCAGGGGCGGCAGAGCCAAGGTAGCTAGAGTCTAAACAAAGGTTGAGATCCTGAGGTCGTACGGGCCTAGACAGTGCCACCACTACCCTGTCGTCTAAAGGAGACGGAGGCATGAGGAGGCTGAAAACTGGCAATTCAAGAAGAACTCAAGACAGTCTGTAAAGAAGGGGAGGGGGAAAGAAAGAATCAAGTCACGTGACACAAAAGGCAGTCGAATCCAATCCCTAGGGAAGGCCTTTGCGCCCCTCTGAGCAAAGTCCTCCTGAGAGCCCTTTATCCTGCCACTCTCAGAGCTTGAACCTCATGGCTACAGAGTCAAAGAGGATGTCAACCTGAGGACCCCAACTGCTTGCTGAGTCTAAGGTGAGGTGCAAAGTCCATGCAAATGTGGATGAACAACCTTTCATGGACCTACATCAAAGTTCAGCCTTAGAGAAGGTAAACACACACAGATTTAGAAAAGCTGGAGGCAGAAGGGAAGGTTCATAAGAGGCATCTCTGCAGGGCCTCATCTCCTGGGCAGAAGTATACTGCAACCACTCGAGAAAGACCCGTGCGTCCACCTGTGCATACTTTCCGTTTAATCCCGTCACCCACTGCAAAGGCAAAGGAATGACCAAGAGCACTGGCATGGCTCACGGGAATATACAGTAGCTAAATATACATCAGGGGCAGTTGTCAACTTTCTGCACGTCAAAATGAAAGCATCCCCCTAAGTGACTCTCTTTAACTACAAGCTAGTCTTACTTTCCATTCTACTGAGTCCTTTAAAAAGCACAGCAGAGTCATATTTAAACCTCCCATGTTTCCTACTAGCCTCTTATACATTAATTTGCATTTCCTATTTCGTTACAAACCGGTCTCCTAAAATGAAGCCTCAAGCCAAGGAGTCAGGTCTGGAAATCGCAACCCTGGCAGATCCATCACCATTTGCTCTCTTGCCGCACCACCCCCTCCACTCCTGCCTTTAAGGAAAAGACCGTTTCAACTCTCCTCCCTCCTTCTTTTCCCCATGGGCACAGACTGTGCATCCTTCTCTCAATGGGAGGCAGCCGCTAAGCATAATATTTCAGTCTCACACAGATATGCCTCCCTTTCAAGAGGATGGATTCATTAAGAAGACTTTCCAATTAGCCCGTCCCTGTGGGAAGTAAAGAGTTGCCCATCGGGTCCACCTCCTGTCTCACGAGAGGGCGCCTGCAAAGGGACAGTTCCTTCCTCCCCGTAGACACAGGGGCACTCCACACTTGGGCCCTGCTGGCTCCTCTCCTATTAGACATACACACAGAAAAGAAACCAAACCCCTTGCAAGAGTCACTCATCTAAACGAACTTTAAGAGCTGCCTGGAAAAAAAGAATGTCATAGAATATCCATCTACACACACGACTGTCACCATTCTCTGACACACAGCCAAAGTGGCACAGGCAGAATCCACACACTGGCACACACATAGGGGCACACACCTCTCACATCCACAGATCCCCACCAACGTGGCTTTCTCTCACCCACCTTTGGATGGGCGAGAAGGATCCAACCCCTTCCCTCCCTCTCCTCTTTTCTTCCCTGCCGAGCTTCCTCCCTTGCTCTCCCTCCCTCCCTTGCGTAGTATTTTTTGAAGAGCAAGTACTATTCCAGAAGCTATAACTGTTTCCCAGCTGGACCAAGCGCTGAAAGTCTTTGCTATTGTGTTACCTGCTAGGGTATGTTCCAGGACCAACAGTCCATTTCCTTTGAGAGAGACGCAGAAGCCTGTTCTCGGAGACACAAGCTGGGACCCCCACATCCACACGGAGTGCGCGCGCGCGCTCGCGCACACACACACACACAGACACACACACACACATGGAGTGTATAAAGAGCTCTGCATCCCTGCAGCAGAGGTTCGGGCGTATATATTGCCCGTGAAACCGTCCAGATTGGCCCAGGAAACCTCCCAGAGAAATACTGAGCTATCCCCTCTCCCTCGCTAGTCGTCCTTCCACCTCTAGTCCGGGGCTGGAAAGAAAATTCAGTGGTTAGAGAATGCTCCTTCCCCACTCCTGGGGCACTTAAAATCTCCCTTCGCAACATAGCGTACTAACAAGCCCCGGACATTTAAAACTGCCGCAAAGCATCCCAACAAACCTCATTTTTTCTTCGCCCCAATCCAAGTAGACTGCAGAGAGAGTAAACGCACAGGGCAGCGGGAGCCAATAGCCAGAACCCTATAACCTCACCTGCTGTGGCTCCTCTGTGAGCATCGCACACACACACACACACACACACACACACACACACACACACACACACACACACACCCCACCGCCTTACACTCCCGGGCTCTCAGGAGTAGCCGCGGTGACTTCCACTTACTTCATAAATAAGTGTAACCCTCCACCATCTGGCGCTCCTCTTCAGCTATGGCTTCGCACATTCAGCCCTCACTCACTCGGCTTCATTGATCTCCAGCAGCAACATAGTTACTTTCTCTTTTGCTACACTGTAAATGTACGGTTCTGAGGGGGCGGGCCGGCGACCGACCGACGGCGCGTTGGGCCAATAGGAGCCCGAAGAAAGCTGACCGCTACTTCGCAGGAGCCCGCAACCAATAGGCGTCCGGAGGGGGCGGAGAAGGGGCGTGGCCTTGTCTTTTTAAGGAGGGCTTATCCGACGCCGCTTTGGGTCTTCAGTGTTATAACACGGGCGGTGATGTCATTGGCAACCAATCAAAAACTTAAAAGGGCCAACTGGGGCCCGCGCGGAGCAGCTGCTCTCTATTTACATGTAAACCGAACCAGCAGGATGCAGTTAACCCTTTCCGGAGCTGAATTGTCAATGGGCTGGACTCGCCGCTCCGGCTAAAACTGACTCTGCCCACTTGGCGGGATCCCCCTACACCCCTTCATCCGGAAACAGACCACGCAATTTATTTTCCCTTCTTATTCTGGACGGATAAGCAAACGTGTTGGAGTAACTTTCTAAAGGCAAGAGGCAACAAGAATAATCACTGCCCCCAGTGGGAAAAACAGGTTTTCCGAGTCGCTCGAGGTGACTTGATAACTCCCAACTGCACATTCACTGACGTCGCCGAACCGCCTGTTTCGGGACGGACGTGGGCGCGTTGCCGGGGGCATCGCTTCTTCTCGCGTCCGGGGCCCGGGGCCACGCA